GATGTATAGATAATATATCTGTAACATTGTAAGTGCATCTGTGGTTGGAACGTGCAATGGATATTTAGTGAAATGTTGTTTTAATTTGTCTACGTTTTATTTTATTATTATTATAAACGTGATATGTAAATTCATGAGAATGTATACCAAATGTATGACTGCTCATAATTACTGTAATAACAATAGCTGACAATCATACATTTGAGTACCTTTTTTTGAATATAGAATAATCATCTGAAGCTGAACCATATTTCATAAACTTTCATGTTGTCTCTAGAATTTGTACTGTAAATATAAAAAATGGGAAATGTCTGCTTTCAATTTTAATAATTTCTAGTTATTGATAAAAGCCAGAGTAAATTAATGACAAATCTGCCTTTATATTGTATGCCATGAATATGAAATGGACTGGTTTTAGCAAACAGTGTTTATTCTACATTTAATCAGTGATAAAATAAGTAATATTTAAATAAATTTTTTTAAAGTGTATTTTCAATACTTTACTTTTAGCGATTAAAATGAGGATAGTTTTATATTTAAGTGCAAATCATTTACGTAAGTCAATGGCAACTAATTTGACAACAAAGAGACATAAATGTTTAAAAATATTTTATTAAAAAATGAAATGAAATGATATTTTTTTTTCATAGAAACTTTCAATCGATATAACATTATCTAAAGTTTATCTCAAGAAAAGTTACATTATGTATGAAAAAATAAATTAGATAAAAAATTAATTATTAAAACTGACAAATAATGTAAGGAAAGGGTTAAAACTGATAAGTTTACATTCTGGAATGAAAAAAGTTGATATAATGATGACTTGAAACTAGTTAATATATTGCTGATTAATGATCAGATATTTACAAATGCAGATGAAAATGCAATAATAAACTCTTGCAGAAAAAATACTGAATAGTATAAAGAGATTTAAAAAATGCATGTTTAAATTGAAATCAAAAATTTGATAACATTAAATGATTGGATATAAAGGCATACATGTTAGGTAAAGAAGGTCTTGAGAATAATTTTGTTAGTTGATGAATATATAAAAAAGTATAATGAACATTTTTCAATATTGGGGTTTGATTTATAATTACAATATTAAAAATTTGTTGTCAGCTTAATTTCAAAAACTAATTATGACAGGAAAAAAAATTGAAGGCCAATTGTTAAATGTTTTGAATGAAAAAACAAATTCCAAAACAATGAAGAATTGAAATAATTGTTGATGCATTATTGTTTCAATTGAATGAATCAAATGTGAAAACTCAATTAGAAATGAAATATGATTGAAGTATGTTAAAGTATGTTGAAAATAATGATTTCATAGATAAAAAAAATAAATGATATATAAAATAATGAAGATGTTAGAGTGACGGGTTTTATGAAAACATAATGACCAAATAAAAAATACAGATTTTACCAATAGATAGCAAAAGAATGTTTAATATATATATGAAACAAATATAATTACTAAGTAAATCAAACAATTCAAAATTTACAAATGGTTGATAAATATTTTCATTGATGATTTTATTGTTCCTTGAAATGTATTAACTTATGAAATTTGGAACGAATCTTTATTTGATTTGTGATTATTGCGAAATGAAATTAACATACATTTATATAGGTTTTTGCAATAAGTCTAACTAAACAAAAATAATGATTATTTAATCCATTAAATGTATCTGTGATATATATTCTTTGAGATTTAATAAATCTTCATTGGCCAACCTTTTAAAAACATTTGGAATTACCGATTCAGTATTCATTTTATGTCGCTCAGTTTCCATTTTTAATTGCCTCTCTGATACATGACAAATCTGTTTATTAAATGTTAGGAATAGTTTATTAATAGTCTGTTATTGGCAATGTTGTTAATGATTGTTAATGCATTGTTCTCTTAATATCATTCTTTGGCAGTCTGAATTTAAATTAAACTTAATTAATATCAGCACAAATTATTTATACAACTTTGAGTTAACATTACCATTTAATGCATTTATTATGTTACTAATATTATTTATTACTATTATATTATTATATATAATTGTTTGCTGATTATTATAATTTTATTGTATAGTGTTATACTTTATAGCTATAGTATAGTATATAGTATAGTCTAAATTAAATAAACCTGTGTAAAGTAACTTTTTCATCTAAATAAGATGAGTTGCATTTTGTAAGTAATGGAACACACAGGCATTTTGAATTGGTTGAGAATCTGTGTCTGTCAAATCAAATACTAAGCAAATATTTTCTAATTAAAAATGTATTATTGTTTTTAATATTATTTTGACAAGTTAAGAATTAAGATTTTCTAATAGTTTAATCTCAATGTCATGTCATGTGTACTTAACTACTATATTGTATATGTATGTTTGTATGTAGTAGGAATGTAAAAGGTATAAAACGAATTGTATAAATGCAGAAAATTATACTAATCCCTTTTCTTTTTTAAATGTACTAAATATAGTATATAATATATAAAATGCAATACAAAATCAAATTTAAAACAGCAAACGAGACAAAAACTTCGCAAGCGATAATTTCAGATCAGACGATTAATCAAAAACGCTGAAGAAGACAACGACGATGCTTGATCCATAATTCCATAGAACAAAAAACAATTTTTGTAATAAATTAATTTTTATGCAATATCCATTATATCCATGATTCTGCCATATAATCCAACTATTCAGATATGAAAAATTGGAAATAATTGTTCGCTCAAGCGAATAAAAGAAAAACGTATCGACATTGAAAATTTTACGGTGCATAAAAACGAGAATTACACGTGGGAAAAATTTTTCATCAGTAGTGATGTTTAGCTTCCAATGATATTTAAGTAAATTTATTCAATAATTTTACTGGTAACAACATCAAACTTATATTTATTAAAAAAATATACAATCTAAAATAAAAAACACTCACTGTGGAACCTATCGCGATAATCATATGCATGAAATATTCATTGGTGAATTATTTACATGAAAGATGCAATTCTACGTGCGTTGTTATTATTAGCACAAGCTTTGTTTGAAAAGCTGTGAGCACCAATACAACATCCAACTAGCAAGCGTGTCTTCTGTGATCTACACTCATATTTTCTTTTGTTGAATGATAGTAAAATTAAAAAGTGCAGTAATTTGTGAAAATAATTAAGTTTATTAAACCAAATCTTAAATTTTATAGGTTTATAGTGTTACTTAAATCACAACTATACTTGTTTGTAAGAGCTTTCATAAAAATGTTGAGCAGTAATATTAGAAAATGATTGGTTTTTGAATACAAGCTGTAAATTAAATGTCGTAAATAAAATTATAAAAACAAAATGTTTTTTAAATTCAAAATTTCAGTTTCAAAGATATTATTCACTGTTTCAATTTTGGTCGTGGTTTTCATGTTGGGATGGAGGAACTCAACAACAGAAGTTCAGAAAATAATCAGGATAAAAAACCCTCTAAATTGCAGTGAACCAAATTTAACACGCCATTCATCATCTTATAGGAACGAATTAGCACAACGATTATCGCCGTTCGATCGGTTTGTTTTATGTTAATTTATATTCAGCTGCTACACTGTTTTGTTTCACGTTCAATAAACCTAGCGCGCTCAGTGCTGATCGTTAAGAACTTATTTGAATTCACACGTAGTTCATTGTTTAAACAAATTATTATGAAATCAAAATTTTACTACATGGGCAACAAATTATTTCCATTTTTTCTGCGATTAAATGTTTATACAGCATCCTGATTTGAAGTTAAAAAGTCGAAAGCATTTCAAACAGCAATTAGCGTATCTTCTAAGTGAGAGCATTTAATTATAAATAACATAAGATATCAAAATATAATAACGTAGTAAGTGGACTCAGACCAACGGTCCATATCTACTGTAAAATCAAAATGTAAAATATTCAAAATAAAGTAAATATATACGGAGTATACAAATTAAAGGTTAATTAAACAAAGTAAAATAATCATCCCTCAATTGTATAGAGTAATATCAGACTGTAAAATATTTAAATAAAGTAAACGTATTTAAAACATTCAAAATAACTAAATAACTAAACGAATGTTATCTAAAGTAAAATTGATATCACTCAATCAACAATCACATTTACGATCATAAACACATTCCTTATCTTTATGAATACTCAAACCCAATTTTGAATGCATTGACACTATCAGCATTTCACGGCAGGCATATCCTATTTGGGAAATAATTTGATTGAGGATTTTCTTTGAAATACAAGTAATATCCAGCTTCAAATTATGTCCTCTCGTTTTCACATCTTCATGCAGTTGTAGATTTGGATTACTCTCGTCTCTATCAAATTCCCTCTAATTGTTCTGCATTGTAGACAGCGCAGTTGCAAAAGTTTCAGCCTGCCAATGTATTTTAGCCTTTTGCAATTCTTCACCATTTTCGTTGCTCTATTTTGCACCCTCTCTATTGCATTGGTTTTCCCCATTGTCCATGGTGACCAACGCTTGCAGTATATTCCAGTTTAGATCTGATTAGCGACTTAAATAATCATTAAAATAGAACATTTTGACAAATTGTTAAAAAGACTACACATAAACCCAATATACAATATAACATATTTATTACGTTATAGATATGTTTATTAAATTTTAAAAAATTGTCAAATCAACAAACACCTAAATCTGTTGCTACATTACCATAATTCAAGTTAATATCTTTTATATTATAAACCCAATCATTATCTACCACTTTACCGTACTGACCATATTGCTGAGCTACACATTTAAAAACATTCAATTTGACACCCAAATTATCACACCATGTATTAGTCCATTAAAACAAGTCATATCTTCCCAAACCTCAATATTTTTATACAATGATTAATTGATTAATTAGTTAATAATTAATTGGGTCATCAATTTCAAGATTTTATTTTTCTGAGGTTCTTCTATTTATTGAATGTTTAAGAAAAAGTAAATTTGTCGCTTTCTGTTGCAAGTGTCTTCAACATGAGAACAGAAATAAAGTTAGTCACAAAATTCTTGCTAACACTTATTGGCACCTGACAATTCATGATATAATTCGACATTATTATCACGCTCTCAAGTTTTGGCACTATTATAAACACTTGAAGAATTAACCAGCTATTTTGTTATCACTTAACAGATGTCATAGAACAAGTTTACAATTTTCATCTTCATCCATCTTCGTTCTCAATTGAAAATTGAGTTAAAAAATTCTTCATAAAAATAATGAAATGTTTATTATTTGCTCGTTTATTAATTAAATAATGAAAATAAAAATCAAACGTGTTTCAGAAGCAGTCCATATTGTGAGGATTTAACCACAGACTGGTCCAAGTTCAACATGTCTGAAAAGTTTTTTCAACTGCTTCCTATGTTTACAGCTAGGTTAGTGCTTGGCAAAGTTTTATACTGAGAATTAAATCATTGAAAGCAAATTTTTGAAAAAATTATTTTGATTTTAGATTTATTTTAAATTCGGACACAAGTTATTTAAACAAAAAAGGAGAAAAGCTTAAAAGTGATGAAGAACATATGACATCTTTTAAGTCACTAACGGAGTTTCAGTAATTTTTTAATATGTGAACTTTGCGGGAAGCAAAAGCAGTGTGGTTGTGACACGTTCACTATAATTGTATTATAACTTGAAACACCAATTAAAATTTTTCTAAAGCTTAAGCCAGAGTTTAATGAAATAATCTACGGTTTCCATAATATAATTGGAACGTTATTTATATAATTATAACGTTAAAAAATGTTTAACATTTGAACTGCAACGAGAATCGTTTTGTAAACGCATCTACAATTTAGCAATCTGAAATCATATAACTAGTGGAATTTTTTACAATTATTTTAATTTTGATAACTCACTCATTCTGATTATTTCAGTTACGAGGCGTCAATAGCCGGCTTGACAGACAGCGAGGGGCACAGCGGGCAGGTAGCAGAGCAGCAAATGATCCTACACTACTTAGCAGCATCTCCAGCTGTCAAAACAGTTTGTGAGACTGGATTCAATTACGGACACTCGAGTTTCAACTTTCTCACTGCTAATCCAAATTTGAAAGTCAATTCCTTCGACTTGGGAATTCACGAGTACTCCAAAACGATGGCGAAATTTTTACCGGAAGTTTTAGATGTTGGTGGAATTGATGGCAAAAGATTAACAGTGAGGTGAAAATTTTTTAATAATTTAACTATTGTGATATAAAACGAAAAGTTTATATAAATTTATAAAACAATGTACTCTTCCATACATATACACTATGCGTGTACGACATGAATGTGTGGAAAGTTGTAAACGTTTGACTATTTGGAATGGATAACTGTACAATATGTATATATATAAAAGAATGTAGTTCAAGACTTGTCGAATCAACTAACTGATTTGTTGAATGAATGGGATCACTATGATGTTGATTACAATGTCAAGAATGAACTAAGCCTATGCCAGAAAAAATTTATAAATGCATATAAAAAGTCATCTAAACTAAAACTTCGTAAAAAATCGAAAAAAAACGAACTACAAACACATTAACGCCAAACATTCGGTAGAATTTATAGAATATCGTAAAAATTATAGTCTATTACCAACACACACACATATATATATATTATATATAGATATATAGTCTATTACCAATATATATATATACATATATATATATATATATATATATATATATATATATATATATATATATATATATATATACATACATACATATATATATATATATATACAATTATTGACGAAAATCACAGCATGTTCGGCGTTTAGGTAACTTCCAATTTAACTTTTCGATTTTTCTAACGGTTTATCGTAAATCATTTTCAAGTTTTTTTAGTTCAAAACTAAAATGTTTGGGTATTTTATGCATGACAGAAAAAAAGGCTTTTTTCGGTATTCCTATATATATACCTCTCATAACCTCCTCTACTCGCATCTCAACTTTTTCTCTCACTTATCGACAATATCTTTACTTACAACCTAGTCCATCACTTATCTGGAATAATACTGTCTGACATATCTGACTATTTCCCTATATTCGCCATCGCTACCAAATATGAAAACACAAACCATGCCCTTGTTAAGCACTTCAGAAACCTAACTGAAGTATCTATAAACAACATCAACAATTTCTTATCGAACCACAACTGGAACTCTTTGACATCTCTGAAAAACGTTAACAACCGCTGCTTTGTTTTGAATACTATCTTAACTCACTCTCTTGACACTTTTGCCCCCCTCCATCCTGCCAAAAACAGAAAGAATCTAATAATAATAATAACAATAATAATAATGATAATAATAATAATAAAAATAATAATAAAAATAGTAATAATAATTATAATAATAATGTCATTCAAGAGCGCCCTATGCATAGCGTCTCAGGCGCCCGGATAAACAAATGTCCGCAAGGCCACTAAAGGCCTGCTCAAACAGATGCTGCTTCAATCGCTTTTTAAACGTTTCTATTGATGGTTCTATTGACGATTCTATTAAGCCTTTCAAAAAAGAAAAAACTATACATGATAAGCCTTAAATAACCAAACACCCACAACATTGCTACCTACAAAATGTTCAAAAACATGTTCACATCTATTAAGCTAAAAACTGAACGAGACCACTTCTCTAACAAACTTGAAGACGCATATAACAATGTTGGACAAAAATGGAACACAATCAAAAAAATTTTAAACAAGCAACCTCCAAACTCATCACTCACAAAACTAACTATCAACAACCAAACAATTTTAAATAAGCAATAAATTTGTGGCCTTCTCTATACCCACTTTGCAAACATCGCATGCCAACTACTCTCAAACCAACCTCCCAGCAATGGTAGTCCAACAGATTTTATGAGCCCTTCCACACCCCATTCTATTAGTCTATATTTCGTAACTGAACAATAAATATTATCTACTGTTAATATCTTGAAAAACAAAAAAAGCTATGCAGACGATGAACTCAACCTGTTCTTTATCAAGAACATAATTTTCTCTATCGTATCACTACTTAATCATCTCTTCAACTTATCACTAAGCATTGGAATCTTTCCTGACTCTTTTAAAATATCCAAAATCATACCAGTATTTAAGAAAGGAAACAAAGATGACATTAACAACTACAGACCCATCTCCATTCTTTCCCCGCTGTCAAAAATTCTTAAAAAACATTTCTCTGAAAGACCTTCTAATTTTTTCTGCTCCAATAAAACTATCTGCAACAACCAATACGGACTCAAAACCAACCATACAACTAAGCTTGCTATTCTTGACTTCACTCAGCATATATTAAATGAAATGAACAACAAAAATCTTTCCATTGGCATTTTCCTGGACTTATCCAAAGCCTTCGATGTCATCGATCACAAAATACTCCTATCCAAGCTACATCATTACAGAGAAAAAGGCCCAGCTCACAACTGGATGAGAAGCTTTCTTTCATCACGGACACAATATGTTTCAATGGACAACATTCATTCAAAGCACGCTCCTATTCATCACGGCGTACCACAATGATCCATACTCGGACCCCTTCTATTTTCTATCTACATAAATGACCTCTGCAACATTTTGCCTTCAACAAAATGCAAACTGTTTGCAGACGATACCAACTTTCTTTTCACTTCCAACAACCTACCTGATTGCCCTGAACTTATCAATCTCAAACTCAAAAACACTCTAACTTGTTATCCAATAAAAAACTTATAAATTATTCGATATGTTTAGTTCTTAATACGTTTCCGGTACGATGTCGCGAGCGGTTTGCATTAACGAGTTATTGTGTTATTTATTTAATAATTCTGACAAAATTGACGATGCGGAATTCATTTACGAAATAATGGATTTCTACAATTGTGAAGATATTAGAATAGCAAAAAAAATACTTACCAGCGATCTAGATGCGTTAAATCTAGAAAAAGATGATAAAATAAAGCCAAACAGTTCTGGAAACTCTAAAAAGGACAAGGTTAGTAATTTAATACTAACAATAAAAACAATTCTGAGCAACAAAATTGAAAGCAAATTGCCTCAGTATGCTGCTCTCAACCTTTTTAAAATTCCAAGCTCAAAAAAAGCTAAATTTGAGTCAATTCTTGACGAAAAGTTAAAAAAATTAGAAGAACTATTTATTGAAGAAAGAAACATCTTCCGAGAAATAGTAAATGATGCGGCTATTAACAATAGCCCAAAAGTAGAAAGAAAGCAGCAATCTGATTGCAAGACCGAATCGAGCAAGCAATCTGACTGGTCAGAGATTGTAAAACGTAAAATTAAAAAGAGCTCAAATGTTCAACACGTGGCGAATGTTCAACACGTGGCGAATGTTCAACACGTGGCGAATGTTCAACACGTGGCGAACATCAACATGTTGAANACAAAGAAAAAAACACACAACACTAACATAGCAA